ATTGATATATATATATATATATATATATATATATATACTGTGTACACACACAGTATATAGACACTACCATTCAAAAGTTTGGGGTCAGTAAGATTTTTTGTTTGTTAATTTGAAAGAAATTAATATTTTTATTCTGCCAGGATGCATTAAATAAATCACAGTAACAGTAAAGATATTTATATGTTACAAAAGATTTCTATTTCAAATTAAAATTTCTATATATCATAGAATCCTGAAAATAAAATGATCCTGTTTTTCACAAGAATATATAGGCGGCACAACTGTTTTCAACTGTGTGTATAAGAAATGTTGCTTGAGCACCAATCAGCATATTAGAATGATTTCTGAAGGATCATGTGACACTGAAGACTGGAGTAATGGCTACTGAAAATTCTGCTTTGCCATCACAGGAATAAATTACATTAATTATTATATTGCATTAAAATAGAAAACGTTGTTTTAAATTGTAAAAATATTTCACAATAAAAAAAATCTGCCTTGGTGAGCATAAGAGAATTTAATGTTTAATGTACAAAACATTAAAACTAATTTTTACTGTCTCCAACAATTTGAACAGTAGTGAACTCTTATATAATATATATACTTATGCATAAATGTGTGTGTGTGTTTTTCGCTTGTTTCTTTGTTTTCTTTCCCTCTCACTCTCTGATCTTTTGGCCAGTTATAATCCCTATGATGGACCTAATGAGCATCCAGAAGCAGAGCTCCCTCTTGTGGCAGGGAAGTATTTGTACGTATATGGAGGAATGGACGATGATGGATTTTATGAAGGTAATTGAGTTATGATACAAGAGGTGTAATTATTATTGGAGAATGAATTTGAATTGAATCTCCAATTGTCCAACATCTAAAAAAATCCCAACAACATATTTGCTAATGGACATAAATAATTGACATAGATGACTGACAGTGAATTAAGACAGTAAGCATCACCTGGCAGCATGTATTAAAATGACATGCTTACAAAATGCATCACAATTACATTTTATGTAATGAGATCTGCTGCAGCTTATGAGATCTTTCTATTTCTGTTTGTTCCAGGAGAGCTATTGGATGGCCAGCGTGGCCTGGTTCCCTCTAATTTTGTGGAGTTTGTCCAAGACAAGGAAAAGCCATCTATCGAGGGTGGAGAGGAGCAGGGCAGGCTGGAGCAGAGCTGTCTGAGCCTGGTGACCATAGATGGAGGCGCTCCTCTGGACAGCCTTAGCAGCGACGCCCTCGGCCACTGCAGCAACGGGACAGGCGCTCTGGATGGAGAGGAGCTGAGTGATGACATCGTGCCTTACCCCAGGAAGATCAATCTGATCAAACAGCTGGCGAGAAGTGTGATAGTGGCCTGGGAAGCGCCTCTAGTGCCACTTGGCTGGGGCAACATCAACGGCTACAATATCTTAGTGGATGGGGAAGTACGTTCCTCTGTGCCATTTGGAGGCAGGACCAAACTGCTTCTCGAAAAGCTGGACCTGGCTGCCTGCACATACCGTGTGTCGGTACAGAGCGTGACGGACAGGGGGCTTTCTGATGAATTGCGCTGCACCTTGCTGGTGGGCCGCAATGTTGTGGTGGCACCCACCTGTCTGCGCATGGATGATATTTTACGTGACTCTGCTGAACTTTCGTGGCTGCCCAGTAATAGTAACTACGCCCATGTTGTGTACTTAGATGGCATGGAGCATGCCGTGGTTAAGCCGTGCTCTTACAAACTGCGTTTTGTGAACCTGAAGGCCGCCACAGTGTACAAAGTAAAAGTATTGGCCAAACCTCACCAGGTGCCCTGGCACATGCCTCTGGAACAGAGAGAGAAGAGAGAGGCTGGGGTGGAGTTCTGCACCCAAGCTGCAGGTGAGATTCAACTCTAAAATTGTTAAGATATTGCCCCAATATTAATTAATGCTGTTTTTAATTATTAATTTAATGAACCAGCTCAAACTACACTGATGCACTGCATAACAAAAAATGTTTCTGAAGACAATCATCTATTGCACCTTTAAGATATTTTCGATGAAATCTGAGAGCTTTCTGACCCTCCATAGACAGCAAGGGTCCTACCATGATCAAGGCACAGAAACGTAGTAAGGAGGACATCGTTAAACTAGTTCATGTGACATCAGTGGTTCAACCGTAATTTTATGAAGCTACAAGAATACTTTTTATGTGCAAAGAAAACTAAAAGAATGGCTTTATTCAACAATTTTTTTTCTCCGAGTCACCCTATAGCGTCATTTTGGGAAGTATCACGACGCATGCATGCTTTCCTCTAAATGTAAACAAGGCGCAGCGCATGTGTGTTCTACATCAGCAGTACCACGCGCAAGCATTGTTTACGTGCAGGAAAAGCATGCATGTGTTGTGATACTCTCCAAAATGGCACTATTGGGTAATGCGGAGGAGAAGATTTGTTGACTAAAGTCATTATTTTTGTTTTCTTTGCGAACAAAAATATTCTCGTAGCTTCATAAAATTACGGTTCAACCCCTGATGTCACATGGACTATTTTAACAATGTCCTCCTTACTACGTTTCTGTGCCTTGATCATGGTAGGACCTTTGGTGTCTATGGAGGGTCAGAAAGCTCTCAAATGTCATCAGAAATATCTTAATTTGTGTTCCAAAAATGAACGTCTGACAGGTTTGGAACGACATAATGGTTAGTAATTAATGACAGAATTTTCTTTTTTGGGTGAACTATCCTTTTAAAAAAAACAAGTTTTACAAGAGTCATTTGTTTGTGAATCAAACTACACTGTTGCATTGTATTTTCCCATAGCCACTGAAAATGTTTTTTGGGATTATACGAATCGATGTCAGAATTGTTCAAATCTTAATCCGAAAATCTGTATTTTTACCCACTAAGGCTGACACACATATTGGACCCTAATAGCACACACAATCTCTTTTGATATGCAAAAAAGACAGAAAACAGCTATTTTTGTTGTTCTGATTAGCACAACACTCCACTTAAAATAGTCAAAGGCAACAGAAATGGGTTTAGTGAGGCTAATTGGATTAATTAATTAGCTGAAATGCTCAGGCACTTGGAAGTAATGCTTGCCCTTATACCATTATTCAGCTGTGAAGCTGTTGAAATGTCCATATTACTGTACACTTGAGTTCAAGCGAATGAATGCAGTGAACACAATCCTTTCTAAACATAATGTCTATAGTGTCAGTTGTGTTACTGTAACTAACTGGTGGTTATCTGTCCCTCCCCAGGACCCCCTCTGCCTCCTCAAGAAGTCCAGGTCCAGTGTGGACTAGCCCCAGGAGTCCTCCAAGTTCGTTGGAAGCCACCTCCAATGACACCCATGGGAACCTCCAATGGTGCAAATGTCATTGGCTACGCAGTGTGCACAAAGGGTCAGAGGGTAAGAATCTGCATGCATCAGCAGTCATACCTGGTGATGTTTATGTGACAGAACAGTTCTGGACTGCATGAAGGCTAAACAAGAGTCATCAAGACCTATTTTTATCAAAAAGAGATACTAATGCCCTCTGTTGGTGGAGTTGGGTGATTCTAAACACTTGAATTCATTGTTTATGGTGGTTTTAGGTGATGAAAGATTCTCACACTAACAGTCTTTTTGTTACGTTATTTGGATGATTAATGAGGAGAATGTTGATTCTAAAGGTGCGGCCACATGCAGTCGCAAAAAAAAGGTCCATTATCTATTGTTTCCTATTCAAATTACCAAATTTTGCCTGCAAAAATTCGCTAAATAACTTTAAATGTGACGTCATCTTAATGCTAATACTAATGCTGTTTCAGATTGCTGAGGTGTTGTATCCACTGGCAGACTATGCGGCAGTAGAACTGAACCGTCTCCAGTGCTTGGAGGCCCGTGAGGTTATTGTCAGGACTTTATCAGCACAAGGGGAATCTCAAGACTCCCATGCCGCCTTCATTCCAAACCACCTGCTGGTGCCTCTTCCTAAAACCCTCCCTTCTTCTCACCACATACAATCACCTCTCCCACCCCAGCAGTCCCAACCAATGCCTCCTCATCCCCAAATCCGGGCCCTTCCCCCTCACCCTGGACCACAACCACCCACCCATCTTCAACCCCTTCCCGTTCGCCCCAACCAGCCCCCATCTCATCTCCATCCCCACCGTATGCCCCATCCCACACAGCCCTCTCCACCCCCCCTCCAGCCTTTACCACCACACCCCATCCCTCAACCCCAGCCCAGCATCTCAATGCCCCAGCCTCAGACGTCCATGCCCATGCCCATGCCCCAACCCCAGCCCCAGCCACCCATGCCAATGCCTCAGCCCCAACAGCCCATGGCCATGCCCCAACCGGCCATCCCCATGCATCAACCCCAGCCAGCTATCCCGATGCCCCAGCCTCACATTCCCCAACTGCCCCTTCCCCAACCCCAAAGACCACTAAGTGCCAGAGAGCTGGAAACCAAAGAGCCAGGGCCAGAAATGCTTCATCATGGAGGGGGCCCACCTCAGCCATGGGAGCCTGGCTGCTCCCCATCAGGCATGCCCACAGGCCTGCCACATGGACACACCCTGGATGCCCCGGCCTTCCCGAACCACCGCTCCCCGTCACCTCAAAGGATCCTCCCCCAGCCCAGGGGTACACTCATTCCTGACACTGTGGCCAAGGCTATTGCCCGAGAGGCAGCCCAAAGAGTGGCTGCAGAGAGTGGACGGGTGAGTCAAGTCAGCAAAAAGCATGTTATATAAAGTATATGTATATATATCTTTACCTTTTAAAGATATATATGTGTGTGTGTGTGTGTATATATATAAAATATATATTATTTTTATTGTTTTCTTTATAAAAGAAAATTCATCATATAAAGCTATCATATCTCTTCACAAGATTAAAGCACTCAATACACATGGATTCATTTTAATTTAAGATCTTTGTGGATATTTTATGTTTTGGTTACCTGGACTTTGAATGGAGGTACAGAAACCTCTCAGGTTTCATTAAAAATATCTTAATTTTTTTTAGAAGATTAACCTAATGAGATTAAGTCTAATGCATTTGAAACTCCATGAGGATGATTAAATGATGACAGTATTTTCTTCTTCTTCTTCTTTTTTTTTTTTTGGATGAACTATCCTTTTAAATTATTTAAGATTATGCACTTACAGAATTATTAATTTGATCATACATGCTTAAATGTTTCAGTAATGTTCAATTGTTCTTTTTCATGTACTGTATACAGTGGGTACGGAAAGTATTCAGACCCCCTTAAATTTTTCACTCTTTGTTATATTGCAGCCATTTGCTAAAATCATTTAAGTTAATTTTTTTTCCTCATTAATGTACACACAGCACCCCATATTGACAGAAAAACACAGAATTGTTGACATTTTTGCAAATTTATTAAAAAAGAAAAACTGAAAAATGCTCAGTATTTAGTAGAAGCACCCATTTGATCTAATACAGCCATGAGTCTTTTTAGGAAAGATGCAACAAGTTTTTCACACATGGATTTGGGGATCCTCTGCCATTCCCTCTTGCAGATCCACTCCAGTTCTGTCAGGTTGGATGGTAAACGTTGGTGGAAAGCCATTTTTAGGTCTCTCCAGAGATGCTCAATTGGGTTTAAGTCAGGGCTCTGGCCGGGCCATTCAAGAACAGTCACAGAGTTGTTGTGAAGCCACTCCTTCGTTATTTTAGCTGTGTGCTTAGGGTCATTGTCTTGTTGGAAGGTAAACCTTAGTTCCAGTCTGAGGTCCTGAGCACTCTGGAGAAGGTTTTCGTCCAGGATATCCCTGTACTTGGCCGCATTCATCTTTCCCTCGATTGCAACCAGTCGTCCTGTCCCTGCAGCTGAAAAACACCCCCACAGCATGATGCTGCCACCACCATGCTTCACTGTTGGGACTGTATTGGACAGGTGATGAGCAGTGCCTGGTTTTCTCCACACATACCGCTTAGAATTAAGGCCAAAAAGTTCTATCTTGGTCTCATCAGACCAGAGAATCTTATTTCTCACCATCTTGGAGTCCTTCAGATGTTTTTTAGCAAACTCCATGCGGGCTTTCATGTGTCTTGAACTGAGGAGAGGCTTCCGTCGGGCCACTCTGCCATAAAGCCCCAACTGGTGGAGGGCTGCAGTGATGGTTGACTTTCTACAACTTTCTCCCATCTCCCGACTGCATCTCTGGAGCTCAGCCACAGTGATCTTTGGGTTCTTCTTTACCTCTCTCACCAAGGCTCTTCTCCCCCGATAGCTCAGTTTGGCCGGACAGCCAGCTCTAGGAAGGGTTCTGGTCATCCCAAACGTCTTCCATTTAAGGATTATGGAGGCCACTGTGCTCTTAGGAACCTTAAGTGCAACAGAAATTTTTTTGTAACCTTGGCCAGATCTGTGCCTTGCCACAATTCTGTCTCTGAGCTCTTCAGGCAATTCCTTTGACCTCATGATTCTCATTTGCTCTGACATGCACTGTGAGCTGTAAGGTCTTATATAGACAGGTGTGTGGCTTTCCTAATCAAGTCCAATCAGTATAATCAAACACAGCTGGACTCAAATGAAGGTGTAGAACCATCTCAAGGATGATCAGAACAAATGGACAGCACCTGAGTTAAATATATGAGTGTCACAGCAAAGGGTCCGAATACTTAGGACCATGTGATATTTCAGTTTTTCATTTTTAATAAATCTGCAAAAATGTCAACAATTCTGTGTTTTTCTGTCAATATGGGGTGCTATGTGTACATTAATGAGGAAAAAAAATTAACTTAAATGATTTTAGCAAATGGCTGCAATATAACAAAGAGTGAAAAATTTAAGGGGGTCTGAATACTTTCCGTACCCACTGTATATACACTAAAACAAATTAAATCTAAAATTATAATAACTAAAACTAATGTTTAAGTGAGAATTTGCTGACTTTTTATTTATAGTTCATTTTATTTATAGATTATTTAGAAAATCTATAAATTAATATATAAATATCTTATTTTTAGTTAATTTTGTGAACAGAAACAACATTTTGATAAAGAATTATTGATTAATTATTATTATTATTATTATTGCGAGTTAGAATTCCATAGGAAACATATACATGTCATTCTGACCCCCTTTTCAGAGACTAGGAGTAGTTTTTTTTAACCATGAATAACAAATATGCAAAATTTTTGCTGAGGCTTACATACAACATTTATGAGAAATACAAATTATTCAAATTATTTTATTGAAAAAATTATCATAATAACACCCTATCGGGTCAGTTTTGACCCTTTTTGCATTCTAGGGTTAATACGTGCAAATGAGAACTCTTTTAAAAAGTTAATGAACATACAGAAGATTAGCTATCGTGTCAGTATTTAACCTCAGCATAACTGTCAGATTTCTTTTATTAAGACTTCTGAAAGTACTTTAATATATTTAGATGGAGAGGAGAAGCCAGGGCTTTCACTCTAGGATCCTCCCCCAGCCCAGGGGTACACTCATTCCTGACACTGTGGCCAAGGCTATTGCCCGAGAGGCAGCCCAAAGAGTGGCTGCAGAGAGTGGACGGGTGAGTCAAGTCAGCAAAAAGCATGTTATATAAAGTAGCTGCAAACTTTAACCCTGGAATGCATGACTCAAGAAACTTGAATAACGGGGGTCAAATTGACCCATATCGAAGTCAATGTTTTTTAATCAGAAATAATTTCTTCTTCCTTTTCTTCTTCTTTTTATTGTTTTCTATATTTTATATAAATTTTATTTAGATTTTTATATAGATGATAAAAATCAAAATACAATTTATATAAAATAAAAAAAACAATAAAAGAATATATATATGTATATATATATATTAAAGTTTTTTTTAAACCATGAATAACAAATATGCAAAATTTTTGCTGAGGCTTACATACAACATTTATGAGAAATACAAATTATTCAAATTATTTTATTGAAAAAATTATCATAATAACACCCTATCGGGTCAGTTTTGACCCTTTTTGCATTCTAGGGTTAATACGTGCAAATGAGAACTCTTTTAAAAAGTTAATGAACATACAGAAGATTAGCTATCGTGTCAGTATTTAACCTCAGCATAACTGTCAGATTTCTTTTATTAAGACTTCTGAAAGTACTTTAATATATTTAGATGGAGAGGAGAAGCCAGGGCTTTCACTCTCAAAATTCAGATGAGGAAGAGGATGAGGAAAGCTATCAGGCCCACAGAAGAGGAGCATCTGTGGATGACTTCCTCAGGGGCTCAGAGCTGGGCAGGCAGGTATGGCAGTTGAAGTGATTGCCTTACAACAACAGGCATAAGAGGCAAATGTCAGCATTGAATGTTTAGGTGTGTTGTATTTGCTTATGTTTTCGTTTTTTCCTCACAATCTGCATTTCACAGTCTCATTACAGTCACAGCGAAGAGTACCATACAGAGAGCAGTCGAGGCTCGGACCTCTCGGACATCATAGAAGAGGACGAGGAGGAGTTGTATTCTGAAATGCAGCATGAAGAAGGCAGGCGACGAAACTCCCACAATGCACTCAAGGTATTCCAAAAATGAAAGACATCTCACAATATGCCAATGACATCTTGGTTTGCATGGCTTTAACTAGTTTGGTTTCTTCCCGATTCAAGACCGGAGGCAGCACTCCATCTTCGAGTCAGCTGGATCGGGAATCATACCGGAAGCCATCTCACAGAGGTCCTCAACCTCAGCGCCAACCCCTCATGGTCCCATCCATTGGTCAGTGCTCTCCCAGTAAGAGACAGGAGTCTGAGACTTGTGTTCAGGGCCTGTCTGTCCTCCTGCTCCACATTTTCTCTGTTTGAACTGTTCGTTAGCTTGTCAATGTGTGCCAGACCGCCACTGTGTGTTCCAACCATAACCATATCCTGTTGCTTTCAATCATTATAACCCTCTCTGAATCTTTAAATCGATTAAATGCCAGAGTAGTTAGGCATCTCCAGCCTGGGCAGGTTGATGCAGAACAGCCTTCGCATGATATAACGACTCTCTGATTGGTGTTTCCCTCAGAGATAACCACTGAGAGTAACAGTGAAGGGAACCTCTCTCCCGTCAAGGAGGATGTTTACTATGGCAGTGTAGCGCGACACAGGACATGGTCCTCCCGAAGGCACGGGGGACGCAGGCCTCCTTATGGTACGTGCATTTAGAGTGAGGTCTGAGGAGAAAGAAAATGGCCAAACGCATGAAACTGCACTGGACTGCACCGAGATGGAAGCTTGTGTTTGAAGCGGTGCTGTAAGATAGCGCCTATAGCAACATGTTTGCACAGAGAATGCTCCTCCCCCTTTGCACTGCCCCACCAATGGATGCCTGCCAAACCCCTCCTCTTTTTCAACCTGACCACAATCATACTTTTACTTTGGCCATGCATGACTGAATGGTGAAAGTTAAAGGGCGGCATCTCGCACTGAACGAATGCCACCGAATATGTATGAAGTAAAGGTTGACCAGGAAGAGAACGCAAACCGTTCCTTGGCATCGACTGCAAAGGCAACTGTGTGGAATGCACATTGGGCATGTTGGAGTCACATTCGAGCACAGCTTCGTAGTTGCGGCAGGGACAAAAGAAAACAGGTGTAGTTTTATCCGGGGCTAATGTGCCCCATCTGATGGGTCTTTCTCGGATCCAGATCTCTGCATGGTTACAGTAGCTCAGACTGCGTGTGCTCCCCCTCTTCTTCTCCCTCTCTCTCTGTCTGTCTGTGTGTGCGCCTGTCAGGAGCTTCATGTTTGGCTTGCTGCTCATCTGTAATTGGCTGCCATATGGGTGTTTCACTCCCAATCACCATACACCCACACACACTGGCAAACACAAACAGCGACACACATCATAACCATCATATTACTGTAAGAAATGTCTGTTTTCTTCAACCCACCCAAGATGTGTTTGGCAAATAAATGGATTGTGCAAGTATGGAGAGGAATTTCACTCCATTGGACTGAATTGCATGCTTATTCATATTGTCTGTTGTAACATACAGAGATGAGAACATGTATGCTGTTAATTCTTTGGATGTTTGTATGCCCATCTTTAAAAAGTCTTGAATGCTTGAACTTTAAAGACATGCATATTGTATTTTTTTTAAATTCCAGGACAAGTGGACAGCCATATTTGGGTAGTTGACAATATCTAAATAACATCAAATAACATAAAATTTGTACAGTATATATTAATATGTGATTTTTTTGAAAGAAAGAAATGTATACTTTGTTTAGCAATGATGCATTAAATTGAACAGAAGTGACATTAAAGATATATGTTACAAAAGATTTCAATTTCAAATGAAAAATACATTTTATCACAGTTTAAAATGAAAAATATTAAGCAGTAGAACTATTTTCAACATTGATAATAATAAGAAATGTTTCTTGAACACCAAATCAGCATGATTTCTGAAGGATCATGTGACATTGAAGACTGGATTAATGGCTGCTAATAATTCAGCTTTGCATCACAGGAATAAATTTAATTTTAAAATATATCGGCCTAATAAAATAGAAAACAGTTTTAATTATAATAATATGAAGCAATTTTACTGGTTGTGATCAAATAAATGCAGCCTAGGTGAGCATGAGTGACTTTTTATATATACTTAACTTTTATATATATTTTTTTGACATGTAATCCCTCAATTAATATAAGCAGCATTTATAGTAAATATACAATAATTATAAAAATTATTATGTAAAAAATATTACACTGCAGGACTTGGCTATCCAGCTATCCATGTAAGGGGTAGTAACATGGTGCCAATTAATCCTGCCTATTAGACATCTTGGTTTTTACCCATCTTTTTCATTTTAGATGGATACCGGGACCGAAGCCGCCGCTCTCCCCCGTACTATGATGAGTCTGAGCAGGAGGATCCGTTTCGAATCTTCGTGGCGCTCTTCGACTATGACCCTCTCTCCATGTCCCCTAACCCTGATGCAGCTGATGAGGAGCTCCCTTTTAAAGAGGGACAGATAATCAAGGTACCGCTCAGTTGGAGTTAATGATCTGTTGTTAAACGGCCCGCCCATTGTTTCAGCAGCCTTCTGTCTGTTTGTTTAAGGTGTATGGGGATAAGGATAATGATGGCTTTTATCGTGGGGAGATCCGGGGCAGGTCTGGACTTATTCCCTGTAACATGGTGTCGGAAATCCGTGCAGAGGATGATGAAACTATGGAGCAGCTCATGAAACAGGGATTCCTCCCTCTCAACACTCCTGTAGACAGAATAGGTAGGTGTTTTCCATGTCACATGTCTCTAAACCTAATATAACGATACAAAAATAGAAAACTTTCCCAATGTTTTTGTCTTTATGAGCTGAAAAAATATTGCTGTGAAAGTAGGAGTGGGCGATACGCCAAAAATCTTATATCACGATATGAGTAATTTTATTTCACGGTAACAATATATATATATCATGATATTGTTATTTTTGCTTTAAATAAGGTCTTTATGATAGCAAAAATTTTGATATCATAGAAATTTCATAATTCTTGTCACCAGTGTCAATATGACAAAAATACTAGCATAAATAATTTTTTTTGTAATTAATTAAAAATAAAAATAATTTTAAAATTATAAAAAATGTCACTGCATATTCTTCACTGTGTAAATTAAATATATATTTCTTCTTACTAAAGTTACAAAAGTGATTAAGTCCAGAGCAGTGAGAGATCTTCTCTCTTTTGTTGTTTGATTAACATGAACGACAGACAGCAGTAATATTAGACTGCTGTCACTTTAAGAACTGCCCGGATCCAATATACTGTTACACATGTGTTTTCTTTCTCAGCTGTTTGCTGTTTACAGGGATACTTGCAAAGACAGGCATTTTGACACATAAAAGTGTGTATTTAACCGTTCAAGGCCTATAAAGCACCAAAAAGAACTTGGTTCAGTACTCACGCTCACTATGAGCACCGTCTTTACATGCGTGCACCTCTCTAACAGCACTCAGAAACGGTTCTCAGACAGCGTGCATATAGGGAAATTAGTTCTCTTTCGCTGCTAATTGTGTTTCAATGGCTTAAAATCTCTTGTTTTTAAACCACAATGCATAAAAACGCATGCAAACGATACGTTTTCGTGACCACATAGCACATCAACGTCACATAGAGACAATAGTCAAAAATCTCTACTGGCTGACAAATTTCTACTGGTTAATCACATCTACCGGTATATTGCCCACCCTTATGTGAAACTGATTTCGTCATGAACTCTCCTTTATTCCCCGTGCTCTAAATTTGTTGTATGGATAACTTACAGGTCCTTGATTAGGATGCCTTTTCTGTGAATCTGTGTTATTCATATATATATATATATATGTG